CAGCTGTGGAGAACGAATCCTCGTACGCGCGTCGGTTGATTTTGGTATACGCACTGTTGGACTTGGTGATAAACATCGGAGCTTGTACCCCATCGCACCCAGAGATATCACTCTACTCTACTCTATGGCCACCATCTTTATCCTGTTTATTTTATTTTATCCAATGTTATAGTATTTCTCGTGCACTCTTTCCGATAACCGATATGTGAAGCAGTTTAGCCCTATGTGCAATTTTTAACCGTTTGGTAGTCAGAGCAAATCTGTGACATCTGTTCCGTATTCAGTCATTCGCAATCGAAAGATGTTTACCTGGGAGCAATTTCGTGGTAACATCGGTGCTTTCACACCTTGCTAAAAACTTTTAAATCTGTTTTGGACTGGTGTCCGCTAATCGAACTATCCTATGTTTTCTGCAAAGTGTTTAGCGGTCCAGAAAGAGATTGCGTGTCTCAATCTGTGCACACACACATACACACACAATGGAAGCCGTCCACAAGCCAACTGTTGATTTATGACCATTGTCAGAGTCATTAGTTGCCGAGCCTGGTGAGGGTGATAACGGGTTCGACCCCAGCTCAGTACTTTTTATCTTAATTGAATATGCAGACATTAATCCGGTTACAGAATGCTGCGTAGGGGTTGAAAAACCTCTAACCTTTGTTACATCCGTTAGACACAACCCAGGTAACCAAACTAAACTGTTTAATCCCATGTGAATTGCAGTGTAGTTTGAGACCCATTCTCATGACTACTTAACATCATGAGTAATGCCAAGTCCTTATTGCACTCTCCAGTGTAGTACATTGATAACCGGCTTCTCTATGGCTGCCTGCGACGCTGACAATGCTGCTTGCTAATCCCGTTTGCTAGCTCGTAGTTTGTCAAGACACTCCTCTCTGAAACACTAGATTAGTGCCTGTCGTAATACCGAGATGTCAACTGTATGGGGCGTGTTTTCATCAACTATCCTTGGTGAAACCAATCATCCACCAAGCGCTTGTTCCCAAATCTTTGTGAACTCATAATTTTCCCCTCGGTTTCAGTTGTGTCCCGCAATTTTGCATTCAAACCTAATCTACGTTACTGCAACTAGAGTATGCTTCACTACCCCCAACAGCACTATTCCATACAACCATGAGAATAGCATGGAATCACTATACTTACAGTTTTCGAGAAATATGCTGTCAGACAAACGTTTTGACAGTTCTGCCATACTATCGCAATAATAGCGGGAGAGCAGCAATAGATTGCTTACAAATTGAATGGGGAAGCAACCCATGAAACCTGCTATTTATAAATAAATCAGGGATGAATCACATGAGATGACAACAGACTGAACGTGTGAAATAGTTTGTGGTGAATGTTTCTCGCTCCAAACCTTATCCAGCTTTGTTCGGACTTATTAGTATGACCTGTTCATTCTCGTATTTGCCACTGTCTAGAGTCCCGGCTAGCACCAACTTGATTCCGCATTTTCTGATTCAGGCGCTCCTTTTTCGTGAGAAATCATTCCCTTGGCTTCACACTAGCCCGCAGTTCTTTGGATGCGGTCACAGTTCGCCTCCATGTTTTCCCACTTCAGCTAGCACGTATTTCAAGTCTTATTCGCTTTCTTTAATTTCGTCATTGTATACCAGCGATTAACCTTCACAACATGTTGGTTTGTCTCTGAGGATTTCAATGACATCCTAGCTCCCCTACGTGATACAGTATGTCCGATAAAATGCGACCGCGCCGCCTACTCCAGCAAAGACTCGCATCTCCAATGCCGCACATTGTGCTCCTCTGCAAAGCCCGAGCAATTCCCTCAGTTTTCAGACCATCCAGCGGCGTGTGAGAGGCAGAAGCGATGGCTCCGCACGTAAGTGTGCTTGCCCCGAAAGCAAGTGCTATCGTGTGCACATTTGCGGTCAAACACGATTTGCCGATTGGATGGGCGGAAAATTGAGGGAACTGCCCGGGTTTTGTAGAGGCATGCCATATGCGGCATTGGAGGTGCGAGTCTGCTGAATTACAGAGTGTTCCCTCCACATTGGACATACTGGGAATGCCCTATCGCATTTTGTGTATACCATATCAGTTCTTCCACTCACTTGGACCATCAGTAGTCTTCGGTACTCCGTACCGACCATGATTTCTCTCAGAAACCTATCCACTTTCCTTTTTGTATTTTCTCCATGACGACGATGTTTTAGACTATATGTCCCCTCCGTTAAGGTGTCTTTGGTTCTTCAGCATTAGGTCGTTTAACTATTTGGATATGTCATCTTGTTCCCTTGCTACTGGCTCCTCAACACAACGTTATTGATATTTTTCTTCCGACCCAGCTGCGGTCTCGGTTGCGGAGCTCGCATAGTCCCACCAAATTTGTGCTAAACCAACCTGATCCCACCTCCATTATAGGCTCAGGAACATTATGCGGCGACTTAAACTGTGCACGCCACCGCTAAGCTGTTCTCATGAACATCGCTGTTATGCTTACGCAAACGGCGCAACCTCCATCCCTAAGTTCGTAGCAGTGTCACCGTTATGTCTAACGTCTCAGACCGCACCGACCCCTTAACTGCCACTACGTGGCATCTTATGTTTCATACCAGCATTCATCTCCTCTACGGTTTATACATCGTGCTGTTATGCTTTTGAATTATAAATTCGAAGGTGTAAAATGTGCGTTCGCTTTTGACTGAGTCAGTAAACGAACTCATGTTATCGGATAGTCTTCTTTTCTGCATCTCGTGTGAAGTTGTGCAGGTTTACGCACTTCGTCTCCATTCTTGGTTCTCGTGTACACACTTCTGGTGACTAGGTTTCCTTGATCGTTTTGATCCGACTTGGCTACTCTGCACGCGGGCCACTATCAACCAAAGTGCCTCTTCCGTTCCGACCAGGAGAGTCAGAGCAGCCAGAACGTCTATCACAGCCTTCCCTCCTCATTCCTAAGCGACAAAGTCACCTTCATCCACCGTCAAGTACTTCGTTTTCAGTACACCACCCCGGTGCGTTGATGCAGTTACCTTAGTGGGACGTTTTACACACACCTTTCATAGGTAGACAATGCTGCGATCATGAACAATCAAATCGGGGAACAGCACTGTAACAAGCTTGTGATCATTCATTATAACACCGTTTTCCTGTACGCCTGTTTCCCAACTTCATCACACATCATATCTGCGGTGAAAGGTCATACCGAGTATCTACTGTTCTAGATAAATGAGGTTCGTCACAGCCAGCTTCCAAATCAGATAGTCTTCCACATGCCCGGAAAAGCACTAGACTGCAGTTTCAGCCTGTTGGGCATCATCAGTAGTGCGCATCCATCGGATCCATCAGGATTCGAATCCATGACCACCAGCGGCTTGAACCGCCAGTCAGCACCTTATGCCACTGAGTCACGGGGGACAGCTTCGGATCGTCATGATTTGCAAGCCAACTGTGATATAGCGCGTCTTATCTTCCACTGCCATGCAAGTTATTGGCATTGCAGAGAACAGGTTTGGCACCGAAAGACACGACGTCCATGGCACTGGAGAATAAGACGCGCTATAGCACAGTTTGTTTGTAAATCATGACGCCCGAAGCTGTCCCCCGTGGCCCAGTAGCATAAGTTGCTGACTGGCGGTGCAAGCCGCTGGTGGTCATGGGTTCGAATCCTGATGGATGCACACTACTGATGATGCCCAACAGGCTGAAAAGGTAGTCCAGTGCTTTTCCGGGCATGTGGAAGACTATGGGATTTGGAAGCTGGTTGTGACGAACCTCATTTATCTATAACAAAATCCCCTACTCATGAATATCTACTGTTCCTCGACTTGATACGGTGTGGACCTTGAAAGACGCGATGTGAGGTGACATTGTATATGTGAAAGTTGACCCAACTGCCTTTATATTGTGACTCCGAAGTCACGGGAAAATCGTTCAGGGAAAAGGAAAGTAGATGTATGAAGGTGAGAGATTACTGGCGACAGTTTCCTGTTGGCCTACGTTACTCATCCGGCACTCATTTCGAAATAAAACCTTACGTAACGCATAAAGCAGCGGGTTTAATGGGCCTTTTCTGATGCACCTCGCCCGATGCCTTTGATTCAATAGTCTCTTCAACAAGGTTGTTGCTATCCGTGGTTGGTGTTCTCGTCATTATAGCTGCCTCCTAGTCACTCGACCCAGGCTCCATTCTCAGTGCTGGCATTCTTGACATCTTTACTTGGTCACCACGCTATTGGGCACATTAAATTAGTGGTCATCTTTGATCCACACAGTATTTACGAACTGTTTGACACATCGTTTAAGACACTGAGCGAGTGACATTAAAGGCTCTCGTCGTCTAGGTAGATACACTTCGGTGTCTCAGCTGCGTTACTATCATACTGGAATCGATTACCTTCCCTAGGTCATGTCTTCTGGATTCCAACCGACCGCCTATTTTTGTGCGTATTGTATGCTGTCACCGCGCTCACATGGACGGAACCTCTGAAAGTGCATAGTTGAGGTATCATGAAAGTGTGAAAGCGACCCAGAAACTTGTTTTCGCCGTTACATGTTCCTTCCTCGCGAATTAAGGCCTCAAGATGGGCCATATCACTGGTCGGAGTTCTCACATGGCTCGGCACAGTTGGAGCCCTGGCAGTGTCCTTGAATTCGGTCTCTTCCATCCATTCTTAAAAATCCCACTTTTACTGATATTATTTCCGCTCCTATTCTCTTTTCCATGTATTCTGCTTATCTTCTATCTAATTTTCCCAAGTATGTTAATTGTGGTTATGCTGTCAATGCCATCGCGCTTCGGTCGCGTTGGTTTTAGTGAACTGTACTGGACTATCCCTCAAGGTAACGAGAAACATGTCCAGCTCGTGAATACGACTGCAGTATCCTTTGGCTGATTTAGGATAACTATCATTTGATCTGCCTCTCTACGGGGCATTCCGCATTGCTTATGTTAACTGGCAAAACCTAGATTCACTAGTTCAACATTTTTTATCGAAGCTTCTCTTTCACATTTCTTAATGCGCTCGTTTATTTTCCAGATCGTCTGCCTTATAGACGCATTTTCACCACAGACGTGCCTAGCGGACTTCAAGGACCTGTGAGTTTTATTCAGCCTGACCTTCTTGGTCACTCCCTTTGTAGTTTAACTTCAAAAATTATTTCTCGACGCATTCTCTAATGACATCGCCATTGAAATCAAATCCGAACATTTTCCGAAGTTTTGTGTATTTTTTTAACCATGGAGTCCCTTTCCTTACTTCGGCATTTTCAGTTACTTATTTGGGCTGCCCTACCAACGTGACACCCAGCTACTTATATATATTTTGGCTAGTTGTTGATCGGCTGCATTGTTTAGAACTACCAAGTCGTAGACTGCGACTAATCATGATCTCACTCGGTTATCCGGAAGTTTGCTGAACGACCTTTCTGGGGAATAGTAGGTTTTTTCATGTTTTCAAGAACGGTTATCATGTTTAAACAGCCACCATATATCCGATGAATTACTGAACGATTGTTGCCAATACGCATCCGCCGGATACTGCTAGATCTGAACCCTTGACTTTATTCACATGAGTCAACAGCTTATATTGCTGCTCCATGGATGTTGGCAGCTTACCGTCGCGATTTACATCGGCATTTCCTACACCACGGATATGTAAGGACAGTGTCGACCCAATGTTCTCTGCCCTACGAGTTAGTGTCTTAGCCCACTATGGAGAGTATTCTGCCTCCAGATTGCTACTTATCACCAAACCACATGGACACTGTTAACAGCCCCAGTTACCTTGCGGCTTAGGTATCTGCTTGAGTGCCGGTGGCCGAAAGGATTGCAAGACCGACTTGCCATCCTTACGTCACCGGTTCGGATCCGCATAGGGGCTGGGGTCTTCGCGACCGGTGGTGATCGCATTGCAGCGAAGCGTCTGTGCAGTGTGACGGCGTACTGCTGATGACTTTAGCTGCTTACGCAAAGTCGGGTCACAATTTCAACTTCTGCACCAGGCCGAGGGAAGGTGTGCTACTGATAAGCCCCGACAAGGCGAATGGGTTGTTCAGTTGTTGATTGGGTGGTTGGAAATATTGCGATGGGCCCTTACCCGTATCCTCACAATACTAATTAGAACGGTTCTACCACACTGGAGTTTCCTTGATATACGCGATCCCAATCCATTTTCTGCGTTGTTCCACACGGACACTACGCTCCGCGATCGATTATTCATCTGTCTACATCTTTGGAGCTTCAGCAGCCGGAGCTGCGAAGGAAAACTGAGACGCAGTGTTTGCCGCTTAGTGCTCTTACCGCTAGGTGACGTGACTCCGCCAGGGATGGTCGTCACAGATTCTAAGCGTTCTCTACTGTGAATTGGAGTACCTGCCTTACTTTCGAATGACGATGAGCGCAGTTCCAACTCAGATCACGCTTTTATATGCACACTGCTTTTAAGCGTAACAGTAGTACGGGTAACCGTCGGAGGGTGGAGGTAACGGCAAGCATAATGACCAAAATCTTAAAGCACATCTACACAAAATATTTAATCCTTTGTGTGGAGCGCATTACATAACAGAGACAATAGGCCGAATTTACTAGTCAATCAGTTCCTCTACTCTGCCATGCCAGTGGGAGTTTCTAACCCTCCGTCAGCCTCAACCAGGGAGGCGGTGTGCACCAACTGGGCCACTTTCTCTAGCCAGAAGATCCGTACTCTCTCCTCTGGTATCATCAGTTTGTTACTTTGAGGTTTCAACCAAACAGGTAATTTTATAGGGTAGTTTAACAATCGCATTTGATCAGAAAGCCGGCATATCTGATAATAGACACTGGCAGCAGTATCACTTTTTCGGAACACTTCAGTTTGTTGATGATCAGATATGAAATACGTAGCCCATGAAAACTTTTGCGACGCGAAGGTTGCTCCTGGTTCACAGTAGTTTATGGAATGTGCGTTTGGCCGCAAGAGACCAGCTCGTTGATCTTTGAACGAAATTTCTCACATGGACATGATGAAGCCGAACGACTTCGGTTTTACAACCACACATATTACTCTATTCTTCCACATCCCGAGATGTCTGCCTGCTACACTGAACATCTTAGTGTGTACGTTCGTTTTCGCAAAGATCTGTGCTGTTGGGTTTTCAATCTCTTCGGTCTTTGTTTGAATCTCAATTTCCACATGGATTTGGTTGCCCCTGTTTTGTACCAGACCGCGCACGACCGCTAACGGTTGCATAGCAACCAATTGTCAGTATAAATCGCTTGCACACAACTGGTGGCTTTACCATTTCTCGTTGATTTTTCCCACGGAAACCTTCTCCTCCGGTTTGTTTTCCATAGCACGGGCTGGCCCATGGGCTCAAGGATCACAGTCCTGTCTTGTAATCCTGATGTCGCGGGTTCGAGACTGCGTAGAGACCGGGCTACTCTCGTAGTACCCTTAGCCCATGTGCGACCACTGGTGGTTGTGCGGTAGCGAAGCGTTGGCACTGCGTGCCGGCGTACTGCTGATCTGTAGATGTGATAATCGTTAAAACAGGAAAGTCACGTTTAGTTGCCATTCTGACTCTCCGTTCCGCTGCGGGCTCTCGTCCACCACACATTTGTGATGGTTAATTTGTGCACTACGCGCCATACGTCCCTACCAATTCAACATTTCTCCGATTTCCTCACTCTTGCTCGTTTTTCTGCATATTACTCACTAGTGGAGCATCACACCTTCACTTTTATCTAAGTCGTGCTCGCGTGATATTATACAGACCTCGCTGTAACTCCCTGCGGTCCCACATCCCGTCGCTTGCTTGGCACTTTGTACATCACTGAAATCTCTTTCGGCAGATAATCTGCGTTATCAGACTCTACGTTCGTTTGTTCATCGTCGTGACGGTTAGTGCATACATGTGTGCACATGAGTGGCTAAGGTGGAACATACTTTTTTCCTTCCTCACCTCAGAGAAAGATGTATCTACGACAGGATATATCAGATTTTAGTGACATTTACACGCTCCTTACGTGAACACGGAGAATTATCATACAGAATGCACCGCCAAAGGAAGGAACCTGTTAGTTGTTACGAGATTTTAACGCTAAAAACACCTTAATGGGTAACGTAAAGAAGCCTCACGGCTCACTTTTGAATGGTACACAGCTTTCTATCCGAATGCCTTAGCGTCCAATGGACGAGGTATCTTAGCAATTGAGATTTAGTAGGTCACTTTCATGGTTCAGTAAAATTACGCGAAAGTGTGCTAGTTTAAAATTCGGTAAACCAGAGCTCCGATACGGTGTACCGTTTACTGCGTACGGTACCCAAGGCGCTTATTGCGCGAATGTCACCGCAAAGATACGTTTTTGCTGCACAGACTCCAACACTCGCATGCGCAATCAAAGGGCTACGACGCGTCGCAATCGCATTGTGACCACGCGACCGAGTTTTGTGAACAAACTCGTCCCGGCGTAGTGAGTCATTTGTGCTATGACTAGGAAAGTGTCTCGACCTGTATCGCTTTTCTGTGAAATCAGTAAAAGCACTGATGCGAACGATCTATCTCTTTTCTCTCTGGTTCGGGGTGCGGTTTATGTTTTATTGCGTGTGCCACTCAATTGGCAGAGTTACCATCATCGTCTATACGTCGACTAGGTTTCGCGAGGATGCCATCTCGTAACTAGTCCGGATTGTGTAATCGTCTATGTGATGCTGGGCATGACTCTAAGCGAACGTTCCTTGGGTGCGTCCAACAAATAAGGGGCCAATCACAGTGAGGTATCATCATCGTGTATAAGCGATGACGTGATTATAAAGAGTGTGATTCCTGATGAGAGACAAAAGATGCCTTGATGAAATGTAACTGAATTTGTATACTGATCATAAATGACTTTGACGATAGGACACCAAAACGTGACATTTCAAATCCATCGGGATATATGCACAATCACAACGATCATCATTGTTAGCGCACGTGGGTTCTCATTCACCCACTATGGACCATACATATTAGTAAAAATGCGAAATGGAGAGAGAGACCAGTGGCCAAAAAATAGAGTTTAAAATCAGAACCTCCTGGAAATATGGCCTGTGTCTATGGTGATAAATGTGCTACCTTACATCGTAGATAGATATCAGTCATTGCGGTCTGCCACCTCACTCGTGGCTTAGTGGCATAAGTCGCTTAGTCGTAAGAGTAAAATCATGGATTCGAATCCGGCAGGATCGACCAGGTACGCGCTGCGGACGGGTGCCAATAGAATGAAATGACCGTCTAGCGCCATCCCGAATGTGTGTGGCAGTTGTCTGTTTGAATCTAGCTGCGATGAATCTCAAAATGAACGTACTCAGTGCATGGACCGTGAGCGATCAAGTGTTGAAGTTTCCATGTGGATTGCAATTTAGAGTCAGTGTTGCCACAAGCCGATGCGCGTGCTCCTATCGGTTCCTATTTCTATGCACAAACGCGCTCAACAAGATAGTGTACCTTTCACTCGAGTCAGCCCTTCATTTCATGACTACGCTACTGAATTTTTATGAGAAATAAACACATGGATGAAGCGGACATGTTTCATCTCAATAGCATGCGTTCGACCCACAGGCACATTGGTGCAGGGTTCAGTTTGTGTTATCTCTAGGTGTGCTATCATAACGGGCAGTCACGGAGTGATAATTTAAATAAAGCTGTTAACTTTTCACCGTTATCTCCTGTTCCCACTCTTGTTACATTTGTGTACTGTGTGTGGTCTTCTTGCAGTTCCACTTTTACTTCACCGTCTTGTGTGTGCCTAACGGATGCTTTTTTTATCAGAACTCGATCCTCATCATTCCGTTAATGGCGCCGAATGATTGGGCATTTGTCGGCCACTTAAATGACCGTAAACCACCTTCGTTGCAAAATGTATGAAGGTTTATTTAATTTGGGAACTCATAGTCATTTCTCTCAAAACTGTGCTTCCGAATACATTGTAATCGAACCAGTTCCTCAGGCTACTTTTACTGGCATAAAATGGCCTGGGCTTAAGGAGACGATGTTGATTTCCGGGACCAATCCCGTGCACACTTTGGCATCAGTGGACTTAAGATAAGTGAATTATGCACCATGGTCGGTATAAATCGGATTACCTGTAACTCTGGTTGGCTGATGCGATATTGATTAGTTCTTTGAACCGGCAGTTTTGTTGCAGACGTTCCTCCACCAATGTGGTGGAAGCTTCAGTTCGTAGTAGTAAGCTGGTTGATAACAAATACTGAATCTCGAGCAAGTCCAAATACGGATACTGTCGGCTGCTGTACGCTATCGGGCGTGTCCCCAGGTTACCAGTCGGAGAATGCTTTCCTTGTGGAGGTAACTGCGAATAAGTCTCCTTTACCTTGCAGGCGAGATGAATAAGCAGTCGCGGACAATCAACGACAGCATCTCAGAGCGTGGGGAGTTCTGTGCTGGTCACCTGGTTCTCCATTAAGTGCCACAAGTACTCGTACGGCGCTCTGTCAGAGCCATTTTGACCGGCTATAGGGTCACTGACCACTCACTTCTGTAACTGGAGGTGAGTATCTAATGGAGGGCAGATGAACAACCTCGATGGCCACAAGTTTCTCTGTGGACTACTTCCGAACACAAAGTAGGCGACAGCCATCTGGCTGTCAACGATCTTCTTGAATCACCCCGCTGCCTTTCGGGTCAGGTCTTTAGACCAAAGGCTCGGGGTGGGGTCCCTTAAGTCAACCCTCTTCCTCGGCCTGGGGAATCGTGAAGCTCAATACCCACACAACTCATGGAACTTTCCATCCATTCAGCTTTCTCACTCTCTCCTTTTTGTTATTGTTACTCATGTGTTGTGGCACTCCGCCAAATGTTTATTGGTCAAGTGTTCTAGAGTTGGCGGCTGCTAAGCTGCTTTATATTCATTTCTGGCACCCTTAACTATGCTTCATTCAGTTTGGCTGTTTAATTGGCTATTCAAGAATACCTGCGCGATTTCTTAGGTTTAAGCAAAACTAATTCCGACGTAGGGTAGTTTTATGCAGTTTCATTGGTGCACTAGCCATGTCTTTCACATGACGCAGTTGCATTGGCCATTCTGCGCATTTCTAGTCGCTGGTTTTTACTAGTTTGTGTTACAGTTTCCAATACGTCAGGTATTCTTCAATGCTCAAACAAACAGCCAACCCAGATGAAGCATGAGTACGAGTGTCAGAAATGGATATAAAAGACAACTCAGTCGCCGACGGCATCCATCTAGGTTTGGTCAAAGCTCAATATTTGCTACCAGTCTATTAATTGCTACGCACTGAAATGCCACTTTGATTGACGGAGAAACCACTGCAACCAAGCATGTGTCGCTGTTGGCATTTCAGCCATGCTGGTTGTCACCGTCATTCATAAGACGAGATTTGATGTTGTGGTTCGGATGTTCCTACTTGCCGCTACCGCTCCGAGAGTTCAAATCTCCTTGTTTTGAGCACCATGTTCGCACTCCACTCTGCATTCAACCGCCTTCAATTTAATGGCAGCAGAGTACCGCTGCAACGATTATACTCAATCTGCACATCCCCCTATAGCCTAGCAATTCATGTATCACGAGTTGTGGGTAATGGGTCCGCGCTTTTGGAGAATATGCGTTTGCTTTGATTCATAATAAGACGAATGAATAGAAACACACTTTTTCGAGCACGCTCGGGGAAGCGCACGATTGAGTCCAGTTGTAACATCTTCCTGGACTTTGCATGCAATATTATATTGTGTACAAAGTTCAGCCACCAAATGTGACGTGCGCGGACACAACGACGACCTTTTAGTTGTTATTCGTTGCTTTATGGGTGGTTTTGTTATCTGAAATACCATTCAACTTCTGCACGCTTTACCCCCCCCCCTCCATTTTTAATCTCAACTTGTTTTCTCCTGTTGCTTTTTTAGGTACATCGTCACACCTTTGATGGGCGCTGACTTGGGGGCCGTTATCCGCACCCAGGAATTGTCCGACGGACATATCCGGTTCCTCGTCTATCAGATCTTGCGTGCGCTCAAGGTGATTTTTATTTTACCACGGTGTATTTCTGATCTATCAATCTCTTTTTAATCAGGTGATGTAGGCTGAGCCATGGCTGGTTCGTTTAGAGGTTTTCTCTGAGGCTGTAGTCCGAAACGCGGTCATAGCTCCTACTGATTTTCTCGCTGCTCATCCAGATTCCCCTGCACCTGCACAGTTTCATGTTGGCGGCGAGGTCCTCTGCGAAGCATTGACATCTTTGTTCTCACAGGTTTGGAAAGAAGTGACTATTCCAGCTAACCGAATTTAATCAATCATCATATCACTAAACAAGAATGGCAGTCGCACCCATTGTACTAGCCATAGGGATATTAGTCTACTACCGGAAGTAACAAAATTACTGGCCTTAATTCTCGTTCGCCACCACACTGCGGGACGGGACGTCTGGATTGGGGAAGAACAAGCGGGTTTCCGCCTAGGACGTGGCTATATAGACCAAATAATCACCCTGAATTAGCGCCATACTTATCGAAGACCGACAATAGCGGTGTTTCTGGGCTTCAAGAGTGCGTACAACCCAGTCTATCTATCCATTCTGCTCGAGATACTTGCGCGAAAAGATGTTTCTGTGTAATATGTGAATGTCTCGCATTCCCTGCACTCGACCACCACAGCCCGCGTTAGGTTCTACGCTGAGTTACTGGTTCTCTTTCCAACAACAAGTGGCGTTCGTCTTGGTGGTCCAATTTCCCTATTCTTCTTCAACTTCGTCGTGCATTCCATCATTGAATGTTCCCTTGCGGAATCTCACGCTGCAGCCGTTGAGGTACTGCCTGGTGAAAAGCTAGTTGATCTTAATTATGCGGGCGAAATATCTTCCTATTTAAGGACGTACGGGTGGCCCAGTCTGACCTGTATAAGCTAGAGTGTTTCCATCATTTGGTATGCGCTTCACACCTACAAAGTTCAAAGTGTCGTTGCAGGACCACCAACAACTTGATGACCCCCTGACCTTTCATAGCGAGGAACTCGAGATAGTTGGTCTGTTCCCTTACCTTGGTAGCTGTATCAACAAAAACGGACGGATATCCCATGAACTCATTTCACGTATTGCAAAAGCTAGAACTGCCTTCTTGAATTCGTCCGGTTAGAAAGGGATTCCCCTCCGCCTGAAAAGCCGTGTTTACAAGGTCACGATGAGAGCCGTCCTTATTCCATAGAAATGAGGCACGTTTAAGTCTATGGTTATCGCCACCTACGAAGCACTGCTGGTGTCGAATGGAACCACTGTATCCGCAACGACCATGTGCGTAGGTGAATACTAGGTAATTATAATCAGGTTAGTTCCTTAGAACGACAAATAGCAATGAATGGGTTGCATTGGGTCCACGTACTACGTATACCTGTTCACCGCATACCTAAGAAGACCTTGTTTTGTTTACCAGATATAGGTTGGCGCAAGGCGCGAAGTGGGCGAAAATTAACTTGGCAGCGGGAAGTGAAGTCAATGACGACCACACAGTGTGCCGTCGGTCCGTCTCACCTTTCAGGCTGGAGTCCACGTGACTGGCTCGACACGTTACTGGACATGGCTCGCAATCGATACCAGTGGCGCATCTGTTGCCATCCTCTAGTCGGATTGCTTGTTTTATGTGTGTTCAGTGCTGTTAATTACGTGGAACGACTGTTTACGACGCGGGGCAATGAAAGCCGCGAGGAAGCTGTCTCGCTGATGCCGTCTTACCTACACAATGCCACGCGTTTGTGACTGTATGTTTTGGCAAGGTTTCGGCGCCTTGACCCTTAATGCTTGCTTAGCACATTAAGGTACTACGCCAGATCTTCCTTCTCTCCCTCTTAGTGTTTTACGTTCCGTACTTCACGGTGGTTGTATGGCAACGAAGGTACATTACAAACGGCTGATACGCTGGCGCTTCTGTTGTTGTTGTTGTTGATGATAATCATGATGAGATGCATTTTGATTGTCCGGTTTACTCTATACTATACCATATACTCCTCACACGTGACTCGATGGCACTATCATTACTACAACATTAGCATACAACGTTTTCATTTTTGCACGATGCTGCTTTCATGGGTCCTAGAACATTTGTCACTCTCTCTGATATTCATTCCAGCCTGTCCCTTTTGTTTGAGTTTCTCCTGGCAGTCACGCACGCGTCACAAATTTTCTACATCTGTTGCATTAAGATGAGGATTCATTCCTAATCTTCTCATACTCTCTCGCACTGAGCTCGTGTTTCTGTGTTTGTTTGGCCTGCTTGCCGTGTGTATTCCGACATCTGGCTTATCCTCTTCTAACTTTTGGACATCTGTGAATTCCACCTACTCCGTGTAGCTGTATTTTCCATGCGCCACCGAGTTACCGTTTTTGGACATTTTCGGAATGTTTGTCAGTATGCATTTCTGTTTGTAGCAAACAGCTTTTTACTGGCGATCGTAGTGTCAGTGATCCCTTCACTTTTGACTTTCATCAGGAGAACTCAGTATCCAAAGACGGGTCAGGGAATCTAGCTAGTATATTCAACAGTTTTTACACATTACTCTCTAGGTTTGAACTTGGTATCTTTCTCAGATGCTGTAGCACCACTTATGGCGATATAGGGAAGTGAGTCAGTAATGCTCTAGAAAGCTTACGGAACCATACACCGGCTCAGTAAGTTTTACCCGAAACTAATGAGAGTGTTGCAAGAGTGTTTTAACTCTAAACCCCTTTGTTGAGAAACGGAAGCCTGTCCTACCCCGATTTTCTCATCCCAGAGATCCCGCGTAACTCAATTCAATACTAGTTACGCTAAGTGCCAGATTAATGTACACTCGAATTTTCTCGTAATCAAATATGTCGTCTCATGGAGTGGGTTACCAACCACTCTCATGTTGTGTTTAATTGTTTCAACGTTTCTTGTCAAATTGGAATGTTATCCATACTTGCGCATGGTTGTGAATGCGTTCTCATTGAGAAAATGCCTAATAACCTGTTCGAGGGTGGTCATAAATACCTAGCGATTGAGAGCTGAAGATAGTCGCCCTGTTTGAACGCCACTACCGGTTCAAGTTGGTCCATGAAGGCAAATCAGGGTCCTCCAACAAGTCTTAGGAAGGACAAAATCTATGCGAATCAAAGAGGACGCAAAGTGCTGACTCCATACTGTGGTTTTTCATCGGCAAGTCGCTTCTGGATTGCTGAAGCACGGGCAAGACCAGTTCCTACAGTCATGGAACAACCGCTCGAATCAGTCTATCTGTTTCCTACTCCACATAACTGTACCGTTCTTTGTGGCCGCGTTACGGAGAAGATTGTCACACGCACTGTTAGGTTTTACATGGTTTTTCTAGTCCCCGGTCACTTGTGGAGATAAAAACTTCTTGGTCCATAGAAGATTTGCAACCCTGAGGTTCGACCCGTGTTACCGAATAGATCAGAGATCTGGCCTCTGCACGCACGTTGTGCATTTAGGTTACTTTGTTTGACTGCCAAGTGTTATCCATGTATAATACGGTTCGTGATTTGTTAGTTATTAACGGAGTGTCTGTAGACCTCACTGCATGTTCCATGCGCACCTTTTACCTGCAAATAGCTGTCTTGGGGAGGGGGGGTGAAATTTCGCGCTATTTTATCAGCAGCTAAACATGATGTAACTGACCAACTTGTTTCGTCGTCTTTTTGTCTGTCGTCTTTCTGAACGAATTCTTTGGGACGGCCACGTGAACGATCAGATACCCTATCAAATGTGGTGCGCTCACGTGGTCGGCGGGTATTCGTTCCTCTATTGCCGACTGCTAACTACATCCGTTGATTTTGGTTCCTTTGAATTCCTCTAGAATTTGAATTGTTTTGGATCCGGCCTGTCTCTGTTTACAACTTTTAGTTGATGCACTGAACTGCTAGTGGTCCTTTTACTAAAGACTGGTTATCATCGTTACCTTCCTCTTCGATGAAATTCCTATCGACTAGACTTCTTTTCAGTAACTTACCGACGTTCGGCTCCAAGTACTGCAATGCAGTTAAACTGCCTCCATAGCCAACTGTCGAAGCGGTGACGCAACCGCAGAGTCACTTTACCTTGGGCCCGTTGCCATACACTTGGGCCGCTGCTTGTAAGTTGCGGCCTCCCCTCTGATTGTCACGCTTTGTTCGTTTCTTTAACACATTTTCTCTACCCCACCACCACCTCCTTGCTGACCACACTTATCCGCATCGGTTCGTCCTCTGGACCTCCGTATCATCTGTTCATATTTGGCTAGTGCGCAAGCGCTTAGTGAACCTCCATCTCCTTTATCACTGCTACTGTCGCTGCATGGTCACCCTATGTATGCCTCCCCAATGCACACAACCCCCCACTGCAGGTGCTTCTTGTTCCCAATCTGCCTTTCACGCCCATACTCACACGCATGCATATACACACAGTATATGCACAGCGCTGGCCTCATCCACCGTGACCTCAAACCGGTGAACATAGCAGTCAATGAGGATTGCGAGTTGAAGATTTTGGATTTCGGCTTGGCTCGTCAGAAGCACGACGAGATGAGTGGCTACGTGGCTACCCGGTGGTATCGTGCACCTGAAGTGATGCTCAATTGGATGCACTACAACGAGTCGGGTGAGTTGTGCACAAACTCTACACCCCACCTACCGTATCATCTTACCTTGATGTTACTTAAAATTACCTGATTTTTGCATTTTTCTAAGTCAATCCTATTTTACAACCCGGATTTTGAGCTGTGCCTTCATTTTTACTCGCTTTTCATTCATAAATCTATCTCAACTTCCTTCATCACTATCACCACAACGACGCAGTACTAACCAATCGGGGGTCATACTTGATACCGATCGTTTGAGAATAGTTTGCACAGCATATTGCATAGAATTCGAACACTCAACATGTTCTTATGCATCCACTCGGGAATCCATCATTCATGAATTCGGCTGGTCATTTCTCCTACGCATAAACCTGAACTGCTACTCTACGGTGTCTACCTCTCCTTGACTAGTTCTCCACATCGACCGACGCCTGCTTTGTGTGGTGCCCCGGTTAACTTTGTACATGCCAAACCGCACCACTTCTGCGTTGTCCGTCCTGCCCCTGCAACGGTGATCAGCGTGCGTGGGCGGTGTTTGATTGCTTTACTTCCACTGACCCCCATCGGGTCCTTTCGCAACTAGCATCACACTAAACAACGCTTCTGTAACGTTCACTACGGCCAATTTGAGTTCCATCTTCTTTGCGTTTCTCCCAGTGGTTTTATAGAGCAGGCAATATGTCTTTTTGCCGCTAAAGTTCAGATCAGTTCTTTTGATCAACTATGATCCGAGTATCGAGGTGGGGTGGTTCCAGTTGCCACGACTCACATCGCAAAAATTAAATAAAAACCGCAAGCGAGTGAGGCTAAAGGTATATAAAATGTAAAGTAAAAGGAAGCAAGAAGAAAGTGAGTTAAACTATTCAAAATAGAACAAAAGTTAACAACCAGCTGCAAGCAACCGAATGCAGGAACGCCACTGACTGCGTGACTGCGCCATATCTCCAACTGTTTGTATAGACCATCCCGAGGCCCCAATCCACGAAGACGGCACGCACTGACCAAGTCTTTAGTCCATTTCTTCATGCCTCGTCATGGACTGGACACCTCGCGGTTTCAGCCAACTTGGTACAGCCCCGGCGTATAATGCACGCTGAGGAACATGTCCTGAGGACATGGCCTAGCCAACGTAAGCGAATAAGATCCAACAAACACTTGAGTGAGGCACCAGAATGCTTGTTGCTAAAATCAACTGGCGGATCTCACCATTGCTCAATCGGAGTTTTCCGCAGACGTGAGCAGTACTCCGCGAGCACCGGTGGTCAAACACGGCCAAGCGCTTTAGGTCTTCGCATCGAACTGTCTAGGTCTCTGATCCGCATAGTAAGACCGCCCTTCTCGCAGCGTTATACACTCCACCTTTCACTGACAGGCTGATATCCCGCTGTCTCCATAGATGATTGAGTCTCTGGAAAGCCGCACGGAGCTTGCTGATGCGCAAAGAAACTTTCTCCGTGATGTGACCACCAGAAGTTACACTGCTGACAAGTTAAGTGAACCGATCCACTACTTCCAATGGCTGTTCGGTGATAGCTAGAACCGGAAGTGTGTTGATCCAGTCTTGTAGCAGTACTTGGCACTTTGAATGTGCAAAGCACATGCCGAAGCATGCAGCGCTACGTGTCAGTCTATGCAGTAGTGTTTGCATAGCCACTGCATGGGACCCAAGAAGAGCTATCTCGTCCGCTAAAATGCGGTCAGCGTCTGCTAACTAGGGACATTTGTAGCATCGTTGGGATTGTCATTGGAGTGTTGCTGCCCACTGTGTACGGATTTCACCATTTTCACATCGGCAAAAATGGAATAGAAGCGTAACATGAGGTTACATCGATGAGGTTACACTCTATACATAGCCCATTAGTGCGACGCATGCTAATCAGATGACTCTAACCAACCAATGGCTGCGCACCGTGCCTTTTCCTCTGCACACGCGAATCAGGTCTGTACTGGCGTATTGTACTGAAACCCAAGTATATTCTACGAGCAAGCGTGTTCGCTCCTTTAATCCTCACTGGATGGTCGTTCAGTTATACACACACCGTTTACTTGCTGCGTATAGCCCGTACGTGTAGCCGTAACATCCACCTGTTGAAGCTCTTGATGACCCATTTCTCTTGATTCCGAGTCGTTAAAAACCGTGTTTCAGCAAAGAGCTCGTAATATTACAGTTACCTCAACTAGCGTCTTCATTACGTAGCCATCCAGACTAACTTGTCTCCAACCGAGGCACCACTGGAATCAGCATTAAAGTGAGTAATTACCAATCCGACAAACGGAAGCTACCGCTGAGAGACTCCTGCTGTTCGCTCATTGTGATTATCTGGACGCTCCTTTATAAACAAAACGTAGTAAGTCCTTTAAGGAATTGGAAATATCCACCGAGTAGGGACATGAATGAGCGAACGTTGCGACAGAATACGTCGCATTTTTAGGTTGTTTCACAAGAGCTGCTCACCATTCACCAGCACACGTGATGGATACGTGTCGTTGGCGGCTTCCACAACCATTTTCTGCTGTTCCATTAACCGTACACACTAAAGCGACAACGCATTCTTTAAGTCCACTTGGAAGACAGCGAATAGGAACACGTTCGACATGTTTATTCAGCTAACAATTTTATCATCAGTAGAGTTCGAAGTTGAATTTGGGGAACCCGTTGTGTGGTTGGGTTGCGACACGCAACCTCTATTGAGACCTCCGTTCACTTTGCTGTAGACCTCGGTCATTCCGATCGCTAGGACCTTAGAGTTGTTCATATGGCAAACCGTCACAAAAACTGGACGATATTTCATTTTCACTTTAAATTAAACGCTTTTGCATACCAACGAATTTTTTTGCATATAAAACTTCAACCGTACGGGCGTTTCCACTCGATGGTGGCGTGTTTTGGTCCACTTGCGACTTATCGAGTAGTTAAGGTTCGTCGCAACTAGATTTAGCCAGACAGTCACCACTCCTCCAGGAAAGTACAAGACTGCCATTCCGTTCTATTGGGATTTATCAGGAGCGCGCATCCGTCGAACTCCCTCGGGTTTCGAACTCAATACCTTGTTTCTAGGTGGCATTGATTTATGCCACTGAGCCTTGCGTGACGGCGGCATATTGCCATGACTGATTTCTAACTGCGATATAGCGCGGCTCATCCTCCACTGTCATGCTTGTTATGAACGTGCAGAGTATAGGGTTAACTCCTAAATTTACGACTTCCTTTTCAGACCGCCACCGATCGAGGTGGCATGTAAGCCATTCTGTCCTCTGCGCTTCCATAGCAGATACGACAGTGATGGATGAACAGCGCAGTTAGAACTAAGTCAAAGCGGTCCGCAGCTGTCCCCCGTTTTTCAGTGGAATACGTCGTTGACTCGTGAGAGTAAAATCATGGGTTCGGATCCGGCAAGTGCGTGCTGCTGACGAGTCTCGGTAGTAATAAACGACCGTCCAGCGTTTTCCCGGAGGTGTGGTGGCTGTCTGACTGAATCTCGTTGCAACGGATCTTCTCAGAAACTTTGTCTTCGCTCATTGCTGCTTTCAGAGCTTGACTATTGTACGATATCAGCATTCCAGGGGTAGCAATGACTTTCAAGGGCTGATTCTGACCAGATTGACTGTCAATCACTGAGTCATGCGTTTCAACCCCTCACACGCCTCGGTTGCTTGGACAGGTGCTTCTTGTTGTTATCCAGCGGTCACCTCGCTAAGGCAGCAACGTGCGCCGGGGTTGGTTTTAATCGAATGTCAGTGTGTCAACTTCGCATCGATTGCCCTGGGCCAAAGTACGACAAGTGCATCCGAATGCAGACTGTTTCGGATATGACCACGAGACGTGATGGGCATATGGCAAGACTCCCCTCTGTTGACTATTTTTCATTTGTACTTTGTGCACCCTACTAGTTGTTTTGTGATTAGTTCAGTGTTTTGTGTGCATATACCAATAACTGAACTATAATTGTGCTCTTTTGCGTCCTTCACATTTTACCCAGTCGATGTTTGGTCCGTCGCATGTATTATGGCAGAATTGCGGCACAGACGACCACTTTTCGCTGGCAAAAATCACATTGATCAAATTCGGCGTATTTTGTGGTTACTCGGAAAACCGGACGAAGAGTGTATGCTCAAAATCACCAGTGACAGTGTGAGTACATCGCCCCGCCCTTGCACCCCTGCTTCTTTCTATTCCCCAGAACTTTCCCATAGGTCAACTGTTCGTATTGCTGTGCGCACGGTTGTTGATACGTTGGCCGTTGATCGACACTTAATTGACTCACAGACTCCAAAGTGTTTCAGTTTTCTCATGTGATAACTCGTCATCCTACTGTTTCCATTTTAGGCTATGTGACTCACTTGCTGTTCCAACGCTGCCCTTGCCTCTGCTCTCTGCGCCGCAAACCCAGCAGGGAAAAAAGACTGACCTGCCAAACCAAGTGTATTAAGAACAGAACACCGTTACTTTTATAGGTCACATGCCATCACCGGCTGCACGTTTCTTGGCTGACACACGTCACTTGTCTAGACAGATCCAAACCTGCTAGCGGTCTCCACTAACTAGCTGTAATCGTTTCGCCGTGCACGTAGCAACCCGTGTCATGAGGACGGACTGATTTCACCAGCTTCCCGCTTGACTTAGACGTGCTCACACCGGCCGTGTAGCAACCCTTATCAGGATGACGGACTGATTCCATCAGCTTTCCGCGTGACTTGCCGCAGGTCCACTTCACGTCTCGACACCGTGTCGCAGAGCTTTTTAATGCGGCCATCTAATAGCTCCTATTCTGAATTAAGTCTGCTTGCATACTATTCGAACTCGACTTTGATCATAGCTTTTCACCTTTGGGTCAACTTGTAGCCATTGTGGTTGTCTTTGCATTCGGGTCGACTTGCATTGTGTATCATTTGTTACTTACAGCTCCTGTTGTGATCCACGTAGCCGCTCAGCTTCGTTTTCCAACCTAAACGTGTCAGAGTTTTTTTTGTTGCGGCCGCCTAATACGCCTACACCGTGTCAGTGTGAACCGCAGTTTAGTTTGTAGTGAACCTTCATCAGCTTAGTTACCGGGAGCTTATCTGGAGCAAATAAATGTTGTGTTACTCGCTTGCACTTCGCGACCCATGTCGCGCTTCGTTGCCCTAGACGTCAATTCGAATCCGAAACGTAGTCTTGTCGTCAGACGGTTTCACTCGTGACTTTCTAAGCATGGCTGTGGAACGCATTGAGTTTTAACGTGAACTAAACCAGACTCAAATCCAAATAAGCTTTATGAACTCTAATGAGTTCAGCATTTACACCACAACTGCGGATATACTGGAGGATAATATCAGTATACTATAAATCTGCTATTGTGAAAAGTGGAAGATATGCACATAACTGTTACTCCAACAACCGCTTGTGCAGGGTGTATTTGACTTCCGTTCTGTCAACCAGCAAACCTGATAGGTAGGGCAAGGCATTAGTACGATACAATGAGGTGCGGGAAAATAAAATTTTGCGTTTCGAAAGCGTAAAAGAGAGATCACTGTGCGCTAGACTTTAGAAGAAAAATTGTTGCATGATCGAATCAACAGATGAATCTCTAGACAGGACCATCCAGAAATGTGCTTTACCGATCGTATAAGTACGGTGTGGTCCTTCTGAAGCACTCCGGGGAAGATGACAGGATAGTAGTATCGCTCATAGGATGTGCATAAAGTCACAAACTTGAATATTAAAGCATGTGTTACTGAAGGCACCTCGTGAAAAGTTTCGTAAGTACACGTGGACCAAGAGGGGTTTTAGGACACAACGACCGACATGCTTAACAATGGCTGATTTGTGCATGGGATTTTCGTTCACAGTCTCAATGGGGGGATATCTACGGGGCTACGACTTGTCGCCACGAACAAGTAACATCACTGCATTTGGAAGCGTTAGGTGTGATGGATCTGGATGGACACTACTCCACCAGATCTACCACACGTTGAGGTGATGAGGAATTCTGAATAATGGAGCCATTCATCTCAGCACAACATCGTCAGCATATGTGCATCCTGTAAACGTGTGTTGTATAGTGAGATGTTCAATACTAAGGAAAATAGGAGTAGTGATGGGATCGTTCACCATCGAACACCACAGTCGACATATAGGACTGAAGGTTTCTTATCGTTCAACTTGGTGAAGTGAGTACTATCTCTAAAATCAGTCACGCAACAGATTACTTGGGTGAACTCCATACTCGGAAGCCAGCTTGAACGGCATTGATCTATTCAGGCTTTCAAAGACATTTCAGTAGTCATTGGAGAAAAGCCACATCGAAATAGATCTTTGTTCTAGTGCAGACGCAACAGCATGGACAAGATTGGCATCATATTCATTGTTTGTTCTGGTTATCTTACTCCAGGATCCGTTTGCAGATTTGCTCGTTAGCCATGGATCACCAGTACATTCACTCCTTATTTCCTTTACTATTGTCCGTTTCGGTATGAACACCCACAGTTATTCACCCCTGTAGTAAAGCGTATCCCGCTTGTGTAGTTCTGTAAACGTCCCCATCCTCGTCACTTCCTTGTACTATTTTCGCCGAACTTTCTTTCCTTGCAGGCACGTAGTTTCCTTAATCAGGTCAAAGTTGACTCCCCTCAGGATTTGAATCAATATTTCTCTGCATTTCCCCAGGACGGTAAGCATCTTTTTCCACCTCTCACGGAGTCCATTGCCTACTATTTCGTACTTCCGTCCTCTGATAACACAGCGGAAATAGCTCAGATAATCGGCCCTTCAATTTTGTTGGAATCATTCTGACAGCATAAGTTTAGAACGACTACTTCTCCATACTCGATCCCGATGTACAGCCATATGTGTACGTCATTCGAATTAAAAACCAACGGCTGAATACTAGATACTGATCTGTTGTTCCAGTGTATCCCGGAGGCCGTCAGCGGTGATATCGATAAGCCTATCATCTCTTCCTTCATACGAATGACCAAAGATACGAAAACCATGCTCGTTACAGGCGACTTGATCCCGGTCGCCTACCAGAATTGGGGTGTCATTTTAGAGTTCAGTTATTTTAACTTGGAGAATCATAACCACTATCGGTCACACAAACGTTAACACCGAGTTACATGGCGCCCAACGAAAGGAATGATGCTTTTTACTCAATTCGCGCACATCCCAATCGGTTATGGTGTAAACCGATACTGGAGACTGGGCTGTATACCCTGTCGTATCCTGGGTTTCGAGTGGATCACTTAATGATACACCGGATGTTACATTGGGTGACTTCGTCATACCTAGACCAATTATGTATGTGCGCGCACTAAGCAGTACTCGCGGGCACTGGTGCAAGTTTATGATGCCAGACGTGAAAAGAAAACTTCCCCTCTTCGAGCGTTGAGGGGTAAAATATGGGAACAGTTTTACCTTGACAGTAGTCGAGGCGAACTTGGTACCGGAATTCTAGAAATTTTTTAGGTATTCATATCAGTAGTTCACAAGCTACACGGTAGCTTATGGGTTCGGTCAAGGATTACAACTTCGGCAGCACAGAAAGTGCTCTGTGTGGCGGAAATCAGACGTCTTCTAGTCCTCAAAGAAGCAATGTCACCCTTAAAGGGCAGCTCTAAGAATACCTTTTTCTTAGGCACAGTAGGTAGAGCAACTTTCTTTTCACGGATTTCGCTGTGCTTTCGGATAAAGTTTCGAGGGTAGCCGTTAGCAATTAACGTGTTGGTAATTAGTTCTATTTCATCGGCTAGACAATCGGTCGAACATATTCGTCTGGCGCGACTAAACAAGGTCTTCACGAGCGTTCGCTTGTGCCGAATTGGCGTAAAGCTGCTAAAATGCAGATACTGTCCCGACCACGTTGCTTTTCGATAGACAGACCTTTTTACCATTCCGTTATCCCTGCGGCTGATAAGAACATCCAATTATGGAAGACAGTTTTGTTGTTCGACTTCGCAGGGAACCCTCAAATTGACATGCGATGAGTTAAAACGCGCCACTAGCTCTGCGATCTGTATTTCTGTCGAACTGAACACCAAGATATCGTCCACGTAACGTTTGTAATAGGGCAACTGCGCTATTTCTTCGTATAAGCTTCGTTCTATCGTCAGCATGAAGAAATCCGCTAGTATGGGACCCAGTGGGCTGCCCATGGCTACCCCATCAATTTGGCGATACGGTATGTTTCGGAAGTGGAAATTGACATTCTCCGTGCATAGAAGTAATGATTCTCTTAAGAATTCAACTGGAATCGGCAACAGACATTCGGAACTTTCTGCTAATTCGCAGATGTAGTCAACGGTCTGGTGTAGCGGCACATTAGTAAACAAAGATTCCAAGTCTAAGGAACACATCACCTTATCGGACAAGTTCATTTTATCGAGATCCTCGACAAGCTCGAAGGAATCTTTGAGGCCATATAGATTAAACTGAGCTTTTAGCGGAGAAAGCACATTAACCAACCAGCGAGCTAATTTATGTTGGGGCGCGTTCGTCATCGAGAGGATGGGCCTGAGCGGCACTCCGCTCTTGTGCAGGTATACCTAGTGCTCTTACTACGATAAAACAATCCTGAAGCTCTGCCTTCATTACGGCGAGCATAAATACCGTTGAGAGTGCGAGTAATTAGCGAGGCAATTGATCCTTGGCTGAAGCGCTGTACTCGAAGAAAAGGAGCAAAGATCGCATGGTTCATCAAAAGGAATCATCGTAAGTTGAAACCAAACACTGTACATCATAACAAAGAAAGCGATGCAACCATTGCAAAGCATCTCGTTAGCCGGGGGATAAGGAATGTGAATCTCGGACTCGGAATGATGCATCAGTGTGTCTCAAGAACACAAGAACTTCACGCCTTCTTCACCCATAAGCTCCGCTTTACCACGCTTCTGTAAACACTGCAGCGCCTCGAGCAAAATGGTGGTGTCTAGTCCATGAAACGGCTCTTGTTCTGTCTCCTCTCCATCCGTGAGCTCGTACAGAGTGCACACGGAGTTTCCATGGCCTGAAGATCGTGCCCACTTGAACAAAATGTCTGCCCATTCTTCAATAGTTCGCCAAATGATCCGCGCGTTTTTGTGAGATCTAATGGTGGAAGGAACGAGACAGTTGAAATAGTTACAACAAGGATATGGACAATAAAAGTGAATCGGCTCCACGGGGTAAAAAAAAAGAGTGCGCACTCAACTTCCCTATGTGGGAAAGCTGCGAAAACGCTACGATTAACAGCACTTGGAGGGATAACATGCTTGGTACACAACGACAACCAAGTTTGATTTGAGGTAACCCTCGATTGTTTCAATTACTAGGGCCGCATCTAAAAGGAAACACTTCTCGTTTCTTTTCATTCTACAATCGCGTGCTCCCTTGGTTACGCTTTTTAGGTATAGATCGCCAAAGTTGGGAATCGAACCAAGAACGCCGTGTTCGCTGACTGACACCTTTATCATCGGTTCATTGGGTTACGTGGACGGCGTTCGTCACGGCGGTGGTGAATCCACAGTCTGCATTTTTGAGTACTCACTATGTGACTGGTTGGGGACCAAAGGACGAGTGCCGATGGCTAGAAACAACCCAAGATATGGCGCGAAATCGAAATCAGTGGAAGATTTGTGTATGTAAGTGTTTAGATTAGGATGTTTGATGCTTAACAAGTGAAGAAGACAATAGGATGAAAAAATGGAGTGTGGCAAAAAATAACAAGAGTTCCTCTCTTCTGGCGGCACCGTAGCTCATGTGCCTTGGAGACGATGCAGTGGGTACACCTGTTTTCTTCCATTGATTGACAGGATTTTGTTTGGTATTATTGAACATTTTGAAGAGCAGTTCAGTAGGCCTGCTGCGACAGTAGCGCTTGCTGAAACATCTGAGCTGACGTGGGAAGTTGATGTCGCATCCACTTTGGAAGAGATTCGACATGCGCTTGCCGTGTTGAAACGAAACGAGGCTCCTAGAGCCGACGAGCTTCCTCCAACTTTGCTGAAAGATGGATATGACCTTTTATTGACTACATTTCCAGTTCTACATAACATGATTTGGGACACTGATCCTTAAGATGGCGAGTGTCAACCGACGTGCCCACCTTCAAGAAGAGTCAGCACACTTTGTGCGAAAATCAGCGGACACGTTAGACTTATTTCCATTACCTCCTAACTTCGCATGTGTCCCATTACTCGGCGACTTACTGGTCCCCGTGAGCCAATCAGTGAAAGCCTGGCTGATTTCTGCCCTGGTCGTGGTTGCATCGGCCAAGTGTTGGAGCACAGACATATACAGACGGCCAACTATGGTGGTTTGCTTTGGCCTCAAAGCCGCCTTCCACTCTGCTGATCCCGCTAGCTTGTGGTTCTGTCTATCCTAAAAGGCAGTGTGCTGGAAAATACTCTTTCTAATGTGACTCCCGAGACTAAATAAGATTCTAAGGAAAGCTGTTTCCTGAGTTCCACAAGACAAGTGGGGTTCGTCAACGTTATCCTATGAATCCCTTCTTCCTCAATTTCGCGATAAAAACGCTCATAAATAACTCCGTTATTCCAAGACCTACCGGAGAAGTTCTGCTAGGTGGCCGACTGACGAACCTTGACGACAGCTGTCCTTGGATCTGGGGCAGGGGCTATGCAAACACTATTGCACAGACCGACGCTTGAAGCTGAACGCCTCGGCATGTGCTCTGCACCTTCAAAGTGCAAAGTACTGTTGGAGGACTGGACAGATACACTACCGGTTCAAGTTCCCAACGAACAGCAACTATAAGTGGTCGATCAGTTTACCTGCGGTAACATCTGTGGTGTTCACATCAATGAGGAAGTTAATTCGCGTGTCATCAAAGCGCGTGTGGTTTTTCCGAAGCTCTAGCATCAATGGGGGCGGTGAGATATCCGCCTGTCAGTGAAAAGCATGCCGGTGTTACTGTATGGATCATAGACCTGGCTAATTCGCAGTGAAGAAACTAAACGCTTTGTCCTGTTTGATTACTGTATGCCAGTTGACTGGCTTTCTCGTAGATGAAAATAAGAAATAATTGAATGAATATCAAAACGCCACCGAAACAGTGACGTGACCTAAACATTAATGTGGCCAACCTCGGGCACGTCGTGCAAGAAAACGATGAGCACTAATCCGAAACCTTAATTTCATGAGCATCTTCATGAGTTTTACGATGTTACGCAATAGCCATTTCGGGACGACAAAACTGCTTTGTAATCCGGAGGTCGCGGGTTCGAGTTCGCGACCATCGCAGTATTCTCAGCCCACACGCGACTGGCGGTGGTTGCGCAGCAGCGAAGCGTCGGTACTGCGTACCGGCGTACTGCTAATACCTTACCTATGCTGGAACGAAATGCACATCGAAACAGCCGGCCCGGGGCCAAACCGATAAGATGGCGGTCTTCTAGACCAGGTGCGGGGCGATCTCGCAGAATCCTTAGTCCGCACGCGATTGGTGGGGTAGTTCCGTGGTAGCGAATTGCCGGTGTGGCGCACTTATGTGCTGCTGATACCTATTGATCACACACCGATGCATCCAGCTGGTAAGTGTGCGGAGCACTTGATCGAACCACCGGATGCGATTCAAGTTCAACAGGCACCACATGACTTGATGTAGAACACTATTATCCGCACCATGAGGCGTTAGCTGAAGGTGAGAAGCATTCTAGCAATTGTACTGCAATATAAAAAATATAACATACGAAAAAGCGATATACTGCTCATTACAGAATACCGGAAAAACAAGTAATATAACGTTATGCAACGGGGATATGACCGTGATTGGAGGAGGAAGTTAAATGGGAGGGGATGGATAAGAAAACTCACAACACAAAGGTCATTGAGATTGGCTTTTCAACGTGTTAACAAGTGTCTCCAACCAAACGTGTCCCTCACTTTGTTGACCCTAGCCTGACAGTCGGGAGGCATCAACCGACGACAACTATGAAGTGAGGGAGTGTTCCTCTTTACCAAGTCATCGCTTGGCCTCCCCTCCTCTTCTTCCATCCAGATCTCGGTCGCGCAAGCAAAGCAGGAGTCAGTGTGCCGGCATGCGTAAAACGTGGCCCAGTCATTGGAGCCTGTTTCGTGGGACAACGGTGTTGAGCGGTTCATTCGCTCTTTCTGCACGGATGTAGTACATCAGATGAACAAATTTAGAGATGCTTGACCGATTTTCCTATCAGGCATCAGCAACGCTGCGGAGAAATCATTCAGAAATGGTCAGCCCGCTAATGACCTTGGTGCCCAGTAGCCAGACCCCTGATCCATCCTGTGAAACTGACCGCACCACGGCGTTGTAACAAATGAACTTATAACTCACCGTATAAATAAGTGGCTGACACGTAGAAAGGCCGCAGGAAACAACTTAGTGATCAGCAGAGATGGTACAACCTTTCACGATAGATCCATGTGCGCGAAAGCCGATAATGTGCCAGCCGAGTTCAGTAACAGTACCTGCAGTTTGGAAGTATATTCTGAAGCACACTAGGCTGTTAAAAATCGCCTGCGTGGTAGCTGGATCCGATCTAAAACAAAATTACCGTCAGTGCGTTTTAATTTTGCTATTCGGTCACCTACCAAAGTCAGCATTCAGGAAGTGAAGAAAGGTGAGGTTCAACAGTCCTTAGTTCGATCACAGGGATGGCAGGAAAGGGGGATAGGACGGCGTCAATGCACGCCAGCTATCGTTAGGAGTCATCCGCAGTCTCAGGAGTAGTGGTAGAGGAGTTTTTGATAAGAGGCGAATTTCTCTGGTATGCCCTTCGAATATGTACACTACCACAAACAGAGGCTACGGTCACTTTTAAGTAAATGAAGGCTATCATAATGGATAGTCGATCGCATTCACTGTTTCGTTTCTCACTAGGAGCAGCGAGTCGATAAACAGCGGGGAAGAAAATCGAACGACGTCGATAACACGGGGTGGAATTGACTCCCGAAGCTGAGGGCCGACTGAAGACAAAGTTGTAGAGTGCCGGTAAAACAATCTAAGTAGTAATTTGTTGATCGGTGAAAGAGATGAACCAATCTGGGGGCGATAATACCGGAAAGCCTGAAACCAAAGCATCGAACGCAGGACAAGAAGCTAGAAACACTAAGGGCAGCACCTTGTGCTAGTATATAAAATAGATACCATAAGTAAATAAAGGTATAGTGGGCATAAACTCACTTGTCCGTCCATTCAAGATTGCCTCGTTTATGAAGTTCCTCCAACACGCTGGTCACTAAATCGAGACTCGCCGTTCTCTGAATCGACTTGTTGTGAAACAAGGGACATGCAGGATCACGAAGACTGATCACGCTAATAGTGAACACATTTTGCTGTTTAAAATAGTCCAATACCAATTGACACCAAGCGTCGATCTGTTTTCTGCGAGTCTCCGCATTTGGCTGCAGGGTGAAGAATGGGGGGAAGTTATACTGCCAGGGCCATTCGAAAGGTCTGGTGGACATTGGAACTCAGCAAACGCCCTCTCATTGGGGACAGAACGTCCAAACCAAGTCGCAATTAGTCGAGAATATGACCTGGAACAGTAAGGGAGAAATAAGCACACTGAAGGCAGGAGCCAACATAACAATAGTTGCGCATCGTCGTCGTGAGTTAATGAAAAATAGATGCCGAAATTTCATGCAGGATTTTCCCTTTACAAATTTCAAAATAGCAAGAAGAAGAAACATTGTAACACTGTAAATAAAAACCATCAATGAACTCATCGAGGCAAAGAGAGGCTGGTCGTAAACTCAGTCAGCTCGCAAAAGTTGGGCATCAGCCGCCGAATCGTTGAAGCTTCCGCGAAAAGAAACAAGCGGGTATTGCTCTGGTGACAAATGATACTAAACTGATGAGGATATTAGCACGTACTGCAGTCCAGGATGTGCTGCGCTATAGAGATAGAGAGTAGTTTGGATCCTTTCGCTACCATGTTTTGTGGGATGTGCTCTGAATGATCTAGCACACTGCATCCACTTGTACGCCAAGCGATAATTTCACGAAGTATATGTATACGGCTGACGAGAATACCCGAAATATCTGGATTCAGTGTATCCAGATGCCGAAATGTTGCATTCATGATGCTTCTTCACCCCAGTTGGGCTAAATCAACTTACACATAAACTAGGTCTTTGTAAGATGGATAAATTTCATTCCACTTTATTTGGTTTGTTTTGCCTACCTGAAAAATCTATTAACTTGCACTCGTTGCTTACGCTTACTGTGGTTATCTTCTTTAACTTTCGTGTTTGTAGCATTTTTGAGTAACTTGTGGACATTTTGTACTTATCAAGGATTCGTTGCTAACCAACTTACTTCATATGCTAATTTAGCGAGGAGTTATGTCGACATAACCGTATGCTTTAACAAATATATTTTAATTGATAATGTCATTTCAAGTGGTTGACAGCTGTTTGATATCACTAGTGTGGCTGCGCTTGATGTGCATGTTGACAAGGTGCCTACCTGTCTATTACTTACTACCTCGTCCATACTAGCTCCAAGAGACAGTTGGTCGTTGCTGGAGGGGACCGAGTGCACGGTCCTTGTGGTCGTGTTAGGCTCGAAGAGTGGTTCCATGCACTCAGTGTGGAGCGGACTGCGGTCCAGCCACCGCCTTGTGTGCGCTTGATTCCATAAATACAGCGTGCTTGTGTTTGCCTATGAAGGAGTGTGGGCCGGCTTCGTTGATGAAATGTGACTCCCATCCGCATGCCTCCCGGTCTCATTCCTTCGGGTTTACACTGTATATGGGGTGTGTGGATGGAGCTGTGGGTGGTGCAGCGCAGGCCATCCTTAGTCCTTCTTTAGGCGCAGGCGTCTAGTGGCTGGCCACAGTGAGAGACAAATCCGAACCCGGATGCTGCCAACTATATTTCTCGGTGTGAGAAATTGTTCCTAAATAAGGAACAGATCAGCATGTACAAAAATGTTCATGCTCTTGCACGAGTGCATGTTATCGCCAATTCTTAACCGCTTAGAGATTTTCTGAACAATCCTGGAATATTTCATCGGGTGAGTTGTCAGATGAGAACATGGATGATATCACTTCTAGATCAGAGAATGTGTTGAGTTTGGTCTGGAATGAAGTGGGTTTTTTACATGTCCTGATTGCAGTTGGTAGGCTGTTCCACAACACGGCATATTTGATGAGGAAACAGTTGGACCGCATTGCTGTTAAAGCCCTTAGTATCCGTAGCGTTTCGCAAAGAAAACCTGAAACTTGAAGCACAAAAAGTGCATTCATTTTGCTCCGTATACTTGCTTCGTTTTCCAAACGACATCGCTACGCCTGTCACAACCACGTCCCTGAGTCTCATATTCCAGAACCTAAGTCCCCTGAAACAACGCGGCACTTGGTCCAGATACCCGAAGCCCAGTCCGCAACACCTTCGCTCCAAGCGTCTGACATTCCCTATTCTGCAAAGGCTTATAATGGCAAGTCCATCGCAATTAGGCTGGAGATCACCGTGGCGCAATGGTTTGCGTTCTTCAGAGATACACCGAGCTACGCTGGGTGGTGCTTTCTACCTTCAGAGCCACTCATGTCAGACTGGTCAATGGGTACAGGTCAGACGAACACAGTCGCCAGGTGGAGGTTGTAATGGGATAGCGTCCATGTCTGTAAAACCGAATCGTTGCCACATCCGCTGCCTTACGGATAAGCTTTTGAGCCAAAGGCTTTAGTTGAGGACCCTAATCGACCTGGTGTCTAGGTCTGGGCGCCTGGCAATATCACATCCCACGTCCAACCATGACATCAATCATATCCTGCACCGACCGTCACGCAAATTATCAAGGGTCGCCTTATCTGCTGCATACAACGGGGCGAATAAGCGAAAACGTGATATTGCTAGGGCCTCCCTACTTTCCTTTCCAACCGTTTCTCTTACTCCCCTTCCAGTTCAAATTATTAGCTATCCTCCTAGTTTAATTGGCAGCAACCGTAATGTTAATGGTGTCCAACCATCTGCATCTGTTCCCACACAAATCACAGGACATTAATCGCCAAGAGCTTCCTAGAAGACCACGCTGTCCCGTTTCCTTGGCAACGTTCAACGTTCGCACTCCAAGACAAATCGGGCAACAGGCTGCACTCGCACGCACGTTAGACACGATGGGTATTGACGTGTGGGGCATGTCTGAAACTAGGATCAATGACGCGCCACGGATTGTTGAATTGACTGCACCAACTTTGTCCTCTGACTATTGGCTGAACCCATCTGGAGACGCCCATGTGGCAACCACTTTTCAAGCTGGAGTGGGCATTGTTCTCAGCTCCATGGCCGAGTCATCGTTGGTTGGTTGGACGCCAGTGAACAACCGTTTGTGTGCAACAGGTTTGACGGCATCAACTAAGGATGATTCACAGAGTTACACTAGACGTTTGTTTATAATTTCCGCTTATGCACTCACCGATCGCACTTATGATGCTGCTAAGGAGGCTTTGTGACACGAAGTGAACAAGGCACTACGCAGTGCTACAAATCCCAATATAGTTCTTGCGGCGGAAATGAATGCACACATAGGCCGTCTGAGCACCTCAGAACCTTTGTCTTGTGGTATGGACCTCAACCCTAATGGCTAACTGGAGAGAATCGATTATAGTGGCATTATACAAGAAGGGCAGTCTCACAGATTGTGATGACTACAGGGGTATTAGTCTAACGCGGTTGTGACAAAATTACTGGCCTCGATTCTCGTTCGTCGCCTCACTACGTAACGGTCTCGGATAAGGGAAGATCAGGCAGGTTTCCCTACAGGACGGCGCTGTATAGACCAAATACTCACTCTGTGGCAGATGCTGGAGCAGCGTCATGCATACCGCAGACCAACAATAGCTGTTCCTGGACTTCAAGACTGCGTTTGATTAAGTAAGTCGATGTATTCTCTTTGAAACACTTGCGCGGAAAGGTGATCGCAAGAAATACGTGAACATCTTACGTAATCTGTACTCGAATAGGACAGCCCGCGTCAGGGTGTACGGTGACCTGTCGGTTGGCTTTCCGACAACAAGTGGCGTTCGTCAGGGTTGTGCGATTTCCCCGTTTTTGTTCAATTTCGTCGTCGACTCCATCATAGAGTATTCCCTCATGGAATCTCATAATGTAGGCGTTCAGATCCTGTCCCGTGGAAGATTGGTTGATCTTGATTGTGCAGACGATATTATCTGGCTTTTTAACGATATTCCGGCGGCACAATCAACCTTGAACAGCCACTCTAGTGGTTTCATTATTTGGTATACATTTCGCACCTTCAAGATGCAAAGTGTTGCTGCAGGACCACCAGCCATTTGATGACCCCTTGACCCTTGATGGCGAGGAACTCGTGGTGGTTGATCGATTCAATTACCTCGGCAGCCGCATCAGCGCATAAAAACTGAAGTCAGTTCATGCATTGCAAAAGCCAGTACTGCCTTCTTGAACCTGAGGCATCTTTAGTGATAGAAGGAAATTTCTCTCCGTCTGAAAGGCCGTGGATAAAAGGCCAGAGTGAGAGCGGTACTGCTCTATGGGAGTGAGACATGGTCCCTTCTGTCTGAAGATCTGTGGAATCTTCAGGTTTTTGATCATCTGCGGAGCATTGCAGCGTCGGGTGGCAACAGCGTGTCCGCAACGATGATGTGGATAGGAGAGAAGCAGGCAGTGATAACCAAGTTAGTTCCTCAGAACAACAGATAGCATTGAATAAGTTGCGTTGGCTTGGGCACGTACTACGTATGCCTAGTCAACGTTCACCGAGGAGGGCCTTGTTTTGTTTGCTAGATTTGGGGTAGCGCAAGGCTCGCGGTGGACGAAAGTTGACTTGACAGCGTGAGATAAAGTCACTGACGGTCAAACTCGATGTTGCCGGTCGGTTTCGCCTTCCAGACTGGAGTCAATGTGACCCGCCTTGTGCTTGGCTCGAGACATTACAGAGATGGCTCGCAGTCGACCGTCTGCTGTCGCCTCCTGGTCGGACAGCTAACTAAAGTGTTTGGTGCTGAGTTATCTGCGGCATGATGGATGATTATAACGTCGGGCAGTGAAGGCCACAAGGACGCTGTCTCCCTGATGTCGCCTTATCATTGCGTAATAGCCAGCTGTTTGTGATGGTATTAGGTCTGCGTCCAAAGTGTAGGCGCCTTGACTCTGAATGTTTGGCTCTGGGCATTAAGGTTTCACGGCAAGTCCCCTTCTTTTCCTCTTATTGTTCTTCGTTACGTAGGTCGTTGTGGTCCATCGCAATGAGGCTGCACCTTACCGTGGTGCGATAGTTTGTGTGTCTCAGTGATCAATTGACCTATGCTGGGTGGTGCATTTTGCACCTTCAGAGCCACTCATACCAGATGGATCAATGGTTAGAGGCCAGACACATTCAGCCTCCTGGTTCTCCAACTTGGGGATTGGAATGAGAGTGGCTTCTTATTCCTTAAAACGGACTCCTTGTAGCCCAATACCAAACCCGCTGCCTTGCGGACAGGTTTTTGAACCAAAGGTTTTGGTTGAGAACTCTAATCGTTCTCCTGTCTAGGCCTGGACAACTTGACAGTATCC